TATGAATGTAACTTGTGATGACCTTTTTCAACTTTTGTTCCACGACTTGCTTGACTTCAAAACGTAATACAAGACTATCATACGACTAATATAACTCATAACATAACCTCTTTACCATGTTAAGCACCCTAGTATCACCCCAAAGGTACATGTTATAACATTCCCAACTTGTCGACATTCGACGAAACTTATTTTCTTCAATTTGTTTAGATTCCAAGCCTTTCAACCCTCTTGGTACTTGTTATCCATGATCTTAAAGATTTGTAACCTCCAGGGTAACATGATTAACTTACTTTATGTACTTTCAAAGACGATCTCATTTCTGAACTTACATCAATTGACTTACGACATACGCTCACGTACAAAAACATGGGGTGTAACAGAAAGAGAGGGCTATGGACGAACTGGTGAGACACATAGCTAGCACAAACAATAGGTTCCATTTTCATTGTCCTTTGTTGGTACATTGTGTATGTTTATATTATACTGGTTGTATCCCTTAACATAGCTCATGTGGCTCACTTGTTAAAAAAAAAGAGAAGTGCATAAAGATTTAAGTATAATAAGGCTTGGCATATAAACCTACAGTTTATTTCATAACCTCTTGATGTATCTCATTTACCTCTCTTTGAGCTACCTTACTTTTTATACATTGTTTTGTCTACTCTACCCTTATTGTTACTATTTGATGCTACTTTTTCTTTTTCGACTTCTCTTTTTCTCCCCTTGTTCCTTATCATCTTTGGTCTCCCTCTTCTTTCTTTCCTCTTCCTCTTCCTTCTTCTTCTTCTTCTTCTTCTTCTTCTTCTTCATCCCTACTCTTCCTTTTCACCTTTTCTTGAGCCGAGGGTCTATTGGAAATAGCCTCTCTACCTCTCCAGGTAGGGGTAAGGTCTGCGTAAACACTATCCTCCCCAGACCCCACTTGTGGAATTATACTGGGTATGTTATTTTTGTTGTTGTTGTTGTTGTTCGTCTACTCTACATACTAATACTATTCCACATGTACTGATGTACCTTTTTCTAAGGATGCTGCATCTTTAACGGATGCAGGTGATACTCCAGCAGGCGACATATGATCTTGATAGGAGCGGATCTTCCTTCAGCTGATTTATGGTGAGCCCTACTCTGTATCAAGGCACTCGTGTTATATTGATCCTTACATATTGTTTTGAAGTATAGCTGAGGCCTTGTCACCGGCACTTCCATATCATACTCATGTTGTTTAGAGGCTCCATAGACATACTGTGGGTGGTGTTTTGATTGGGGAAACAAACTATAAATGTTGTTGTATTTGTTGGATGTACCACTTTTAAACTATGAACTTGTAATGTTTTGGGTAATTGCAGATGAAGATCCGAAAAGTAATGTAAGTTGGTGTTGTACATTTTATTCTCTTGTGTCTATCTCTTGTTATTTCCTCTTAAACTGTTCATGGGTAAGGTTGATTAGCAAGCACCAAGTAGGCTTGCTTGATTGGGGTAACTTGGTTGAGTGTCGGTCCTGCTCCCCAAGGTCGGGGCATGACAGCTATGGCCGATTGGACAGTTACACATTTACCACCGAGCTATAGTCGGTCGGGAAGTCATGCATTTACCACCGCGCTACGGCCGATCAGGCAGTTACTACTGATCAGTTGGGCAGTCATGTTAAGATAAGGATAATAGTATCAAAGAGAGGCATTAAATATATAAGTATAGTTAGTATGCATATCATGGCCCTCAGTGGCACTTCAGAGGTTCAGGTTGATTCTTATATCTCTCTCATTGATGTTGACTTATTGTTATGTTTCAGTTATGCCTTACATACTCGGTACATTATTTATACTTACGTCCTTTTTATTGTGGACGTTGCATTCATGCCTGCAGGTGCAGGTAATCAGTTTGACGAGCCCCCATAATAGACGAGGTATGCATTCAGCAAAGAATCGCTAAGACTCCACTTAATTTGAAGTGCAGCTGAATCTATAAGTCATCGTGTCAGAGTTTTGCTACAGGCTTATGGGTATTCTAGGGCCCTGCCCCCGACCATGTTTCGATGTCAAATACTCTTAGAGGATTTGTAGACATAGATTCATTATGTAAAATATGTTAGAGGCCTTGACGGACCATGAGTATTCATATTTGAGTACCATGGTTCGCTAATAAAGGGTTTGCCCACTTACAGTTATATATTACGAGTTGTGGCTGGCCCATGGTAGTTACAAAAAGAATGATTTAAACCTAGTCGACCTACGCATGTTCTAGTTTTTGCCAAACGATCATGAGTTATAGAGTGGTTCGCTCAGACCAGTATGACATTGGGTGCCAGCCATTCCTCCTCAAGTTGGGGCCTGACAGATGTTAATGCTCTTATGGATCCGGAGTCCACCCTATCTCATGTAACTCCATATATTTCTAAGAAATTTGGGATACAACCAGAAAAGTTGTGTGAACCCTTTGAAGTGTCCACTCTAGTTGGAAAATCACTTATAGCTAGATGTATCTATAGGGGATGTCTAGTCAAAGTGTATCATTGTCTTACTGTAGTAGACTTAGTAGAATTAGAGATGGTAGACATAGATATAATCATGGGCGTCGATTGGTTAGAGTCATGTTACGCCACAGTGGGTTGTAGAACCAAAATAGTATGTTTCGAATTTCCCGATGAACCAGTCTTAGAGTGGAAGGGTGATGTAGTAGCACCTAGGGGTAGGTTTCTTTTCTATCTTAAAGCCAGAAAAATGATCTCTAAAGGGTATATCTATCACCTGGTTCGAGATAGGGATGCAGATACTTAGATTCCCACTCTCTAGTCAGTAACAATTGTAAATGAGTTCCTAGAAGTATTTCTTGAAGATCTTCCCGGAGTCCCTCCCGATAGAGAAATTGACTTTGGAATTGGTCTACTCCCCAGCACTAAGCCTATATCTATTGCACCTTATAGAATGGTTGTAGTGGAGCTGAAAAGTCCAGTTGAAAGATCTTCTAGATAAGGGATTTATAAGGCCAAGTGTCTCACCTTGGGGAGCACCAGTCTTGTTTGTCCGAAAGAGGATGGGTCTTTGCGCATGTGCATTGACTAACATCAGTTGAATAAAGTCATCATGGTGCCCAGTGTTATTCCAAGATTGACATCGGATCAGGGTGCCCAGTGTTATTCCAAGAACAAGTACCCTCGTTATGGGCATTTCGAACTTTTGGTTATGTCGTTTGGTTTAACGAATGCACCAATAACTTTCATGGACCTTATGAATAGAGTCTTCAAGACTTATCTTGATTTTTTTGTTAATGTGTTTATTGATGATATCTTGATTTATTCCCATAGCAAGACTAACCATGCAGAACATCTCAGAATCATATTGTAGACAGTGCAGGATCACAAGCTGTATACAAAATATTCTAAATGTGAATTCTGGTTGAAATAAGTAGTGTTTTTGGGCCATGTCATCTCAGGCGAAGGCATGAAGGTGGTTTTCAAAAAATAGAGGCAGTGAAGAACCAGCCTAGACCTACCTTAGTATTTGATATAAGAAGTTTCTTGGGTCTAGCAGGCTATTACAGGCATTTTGTAGAGGGATTCTCCTCTATCTCGACCCCTTTGACTAGACTAACTTAGAAGAAGGTCAAGTTTCCGTGGTCAAATGCTTGAGAGAAACATTTTGAGGAGTTGAAGAGAGGTTGACTTCAGCTCCAGTCTTGACGCTACCGGAAGGAACCAAAGGGTTCATTGTTTATTGTGAGGCTTCAGGGGTTAGTCTTGGGTGCGTGTGAATGCAGCACGGTGAAGTTATGGCCTACGTGTCCAGATAACTCAAGGCTCACGAGAAGAATTATCTGACTCCTGATCTTGAGTTATCAGCCGTGGTATTCACGGTAAAGATCTGGCGCCATTATTTGTACGGAGTACCTGTTGATATTTTAACAGATCACAAGATTCTCCAGTACATCTTCAAGCAAAGAGAACTGAATCATCATTAGATAAGGTGGCTTGAATTCCTCAAGTATTATGATGTTCATATCCTCTATCATCCAATGAAAGCAAATGTTGTAGCCCATGATCTCAATCAGCATTATATGGGAAGTTTAGATCATGTTGAAGTAGACAAGTGAACTATGATGAATGAAATCCACTGCTTAGCAAGTCTAGGAGTTGGACTTCTGGACTCTGAAGATGGTGGCATTGTTTTTCAGAACATGGTTGAATCCTCCTTCGTAGCCAAAGTGAAGGAAAAACAGTTCAGTGATCTCTATTAATTACATCTGAAGGAGGGGATTCACAAACATAAGACTACGATTTTTGATCAAAGGAGAGATGATGGTACTTTGAGGTATAGAGGCAGACTATGCGTTCCAGACATAGATGGGTTTAGAGAGTGGATTATGTATGAAGCACAAAATTCAAGGCATTCTATTCACCCAGGTTCCACAAAGATATATCATAATATTAAGGAGATTTATTGGTGGAACGACATGAAAAAGAATATAGCAGATTTTGTGGCTAAGTGTCAAAATTGTCAACAGGTGAAAGCCACACACCAGAGGCTTGGTGGTTTTGCTCAGAGTATAGAAATTCCCGTTTGGAAATGGGAGATGATAAACATGGACTACATAATAGGTTTACCACGCTCGTTTTGGAAACATGATTCGATTTGGGTGATTCTAGACCGACTTACCAAGTCAACTTACTTCTTGCCAGTGAAGACTATGGATTAAACAGAGGATTATTCAAATTTGTATATCTAGGAAATTGTCCGATTGCATGGGACTCCTTTGTCAATCATCTCAGATCATGGTGCTCAATTCAAAGCGAACTTTTGTAAATCCTTTCAGAAAGGATTGGGCACAATGGTGAACCTCAACACAACTTTTCATCCTCAGATAGATGGCCAGACAGAATGCACCATTCAAACTTTTGAAGATATATTGAGGGCATGTGTTATCGATTTTAAAGGTAATTGGGATGATAATCTACCCTTCATTGAGTTTGCTTATAATAACAACTACCACTCTAGTATCAAGATGGCACCATACGAAGCTATGTATGGGCGAAGGTATAGATTGCCAATTGGTTGGTTCGATGTTGGCGAAGCAGAGTTGTTGGGACCCTATTTGTTCTATCAGGCTATGGAGAAAGTCAAGTTGATTCAAGAGTATTTGAAGACGGCTCAGAGTCGCCAAAAGTCATATTCGGACATGCGGTGTAGAGACTTAGAGTTCCAAGTTAATGATTGGGTATTTCTTGAAGTTTCACCTAAGAAAGGCGTTATGAGATTTGGGAAGAAGAGGAAGCTTAGTCCCTGCTATATTGGGCCATATAGAAACATGCGAAGGGCCAGGCAAGTGGCTTAGGAGTTAGAATTGCCACAAGAATTAGCTATTGTAAATCTAGTGTTTCATGTATCTATGTTGAAGAAATTCATGGGAGACCCGTCTCTTGTAGTTCCTATAGAGATTACATGGGTTAAAAATAAATGTGACTTATGAAGAAATTCCAGTAATTATTCTTGATCTCCAAATCCGCAAGATGAGAACTAAGGAAATTGCTTTAGTGAAAGTGCTTTGGAGGGATCAGAAGGTGGAAGAGGCTACGTGGGAAGCCGAAGAGGAAATGAAGTCCAGATATCCCCATCTCTTTGCAGAATAAGCAGAAAAAGTAGAAGGTAACTAACCTTTTCATTTAGACCTTATATTATAATCTCCATATCTTTTAGTATTCAGTCAGCTCATTATTCAGTCAGCTCAGTAGTCATTCAGTTCAGTATCTTAGCAGTTTAGTAATCATGTATTCATTCACTTTAGTATGCATATGTTCATGACATTTTAGTGTTCATATATTTCCTTCAGACCCGTTTAAGGTCCATAGTTAGTCATAGTTACAGTCAGGACAATCATTCGAGGATGAATGATCGCAATGAGGAGATAATGTAACATTCTGTAAATTCGAATTAGGTATGGATGTGTTAAATGAGTATTAATGTGACATTTTAGACATGTGAAGTCCTATCGGGATGAGTATGGGTGGAAATAGTTTTTTTGGAATCAAGACGGAGAGTAAGGTGCATAAGATTCGGTAAAATCAACTAAGTTTAAGGAAGGTTTGTCTTCCAACTTAATTTCTTGAAACTTTATTTGGAATTTGAGAAAACTTAAAACATGAAAGTTTTAGCATCAGAAAGATATTTTTAGTCATGTCCCTTGGTGTTTGAACTATCAACATGTGAAGTATGAACATCAAAAACCGATTGGGTTGACTTAGAGATTGGAGATATCGGAGTGGAACTGGGAGCGTATCACGATGGATTTTATGGTCGGCTTACAACGGACCTTGAGGAAATATGACGTTGTTTGGGTTATTATGGACCGATTGACTAAGTCAACGCACTTCATTCCGGTGATGACTTCCTATTCTTTAGAGCAGTTGGCTCAGATTTACATTAGAGAGATTATCCACCTAGATGACGTGCCTATTTCCATCAATTCTGACAGAGGCATTTAATTCACATCGCATTTTTGTATAGCCGTGCAACATGAGTTAGCCACGCGGGTCGAGCTGAGTACCGTGTTTCATCCTCAGACAGTCGAATAGTCTGAGTGCACTATTTATATATTGGAGGACATGTTGCAGACATGCTCCATGGATTTCGGGGTTAGTGGGACCAGTTTTTACCCTTAGCGAGTTTGCCTACTACAACAGCTATCAGTCGAGCATCTAGATGGCTCCGTAAGAGGCCTTATATGGCAGGTAATGTCATTCGCCGATTGGTTGGTTTGAGCCTGGTGAGGCTAGATTCTTAGCCACTTATTTGATTCATGATGCTTTGGAAAATGTTAAGGTGATTCAGGAGCGACTTCGTATAGCTCAGTCCAGGCAAAAGAGTTATGCATACCGGAAGGTTCGAGATGTGGCTTACATGGTGGGTGAGAAGGTTCTTCTTCGAGTGTCACGTAATGAAGGGCTTGATGCGGTTTGGGAAGAAGGGCAAGCTGAGCCCGAGTTTAAGATCTTGGAGAGAGTTGGGGAGGGTTCTTATAGGCTTACATTGCCTCGTAGCCTAGCAGGGGTACATCTGGTATTTCAAATTTCCATGCTTCGGAAGTACCATGAGGACAGTTCATATTTTTTAGACTTCTGCACAGTGCAACTTCATGAGAATTTGACCTATGAGGAAGAGTCGGTAGCTATTCTAGACCAAAAGGTTCCTGAGTTAAGGTTTAAGAGTTTTCCTTCTGTGAAAGTGCAAAGGAGAGGTCAGTCAATCGAAGAAGCGATGTGGGAGTCTGAGTCCAATATGCGGAGTAGATACCCACACCTTTTTACCAGTCCAGGTACATTTCTATGTCCATTCGAGGACAAATATTTCTTTTAGAGATGGAGAATGTCAAGACCCGATAGGTCGTTTTGAGTACTAGCCTTTATTTCTGTGTTCCGAAATCTCTCATAGCTTCATTTGATGTAATATGACTTGTGTCTGTGGTCCTTGTCGTTTTTCAGAAAGTTTTTATGTGAAATTTTAAAGAAAATGTGATTTTTGGCTTTAAAAACAACTAGAGTTGACCACGGTCAATATTTTTGATAAACGACCTCGGATCGGTATTTTGATGATTCCGGTAGATTTGTATGATATTTTTGGACTTGTACGCACATTTGGTTGGGGGTCCCGGGTGACCGAAGCACATTCATTTCAGCGAATTATGTGAAAGTTGACAAAATGTTGAGTTTTAAGTTGAAATTTATAGTTTTGGTGATCGATTCTTGTTATTTGAGTTAGTTTGATTATTTGAGGTAGCGAGTAAGGTTTTAGGATATTATTATACTTGTGTGCATGTTTAGTTTGGAGCCTGAGGGGCTCGGCTGAGTTTCCGATACATCAGTGTTTCGCAATTGTGACGTCTGTAGCTGGATAAAAGATAGGAATGTTGGGACTTAGCTCATTTTACATTATTTTTCAACCCTAAGCACTCTAGAGGAGATTTTTGAAGAACCTTTTCTCTCCAAATTCATTGGTGAGCAACTCTAATTCTTTTTCCATAAATTCCCCAATACTTTTCATGAATTTTTAACATCAAATCAATGAATTTCATTGTAGAAATTAGGGGTTTGGGGTGGAATTTAGGGATTTTGTGAAATTCAGATTTAGACCTTAATCTGAGGTCGAATTTTGAATCAAATCACGTATATGGGCTTGAGGGTGAATGGGTTATGAGAATTTGTTCCGAATCTTGGATTCCGACCAAGCGAGCCCGGGGTTGACTTTTGTTGACTTTTTCAAAATGATCAAATTTGAACCTTTTTCATTCGTGGGTAGTTTCTAAAGCTTATTTTGAATTGTTTGATTGATAATTGGCTAGATTCGGTTGGTTTGTAGGCTTGTTTGAAAGGCAAAGCCGTGATTGATTGTTGATTTGGTTGCGGAAAGAGATAAGTATTGTGGTTAACATTGACTTGAGGGAATAAGGACTTGCTTGGTCTATTTGCTACATGAATTATGTATGGGGACGATGTATATGCAAGGTGATGAGTACATATACGTTGTCATTGGTTAAAGCATGCGGGTGAAATTTGTCTTATTTATACCATGTTGTCTCATTTACTATGTCTTCCATGCCTTAGTTAGATTATTTATTCTTTAATTGTTCGCTTTCATGTTTATTGCTTTTGTTGAGATTGTTGTGATATTGAAAGTTGAATTTGCATAATTTAGCACCATGGTTGAAGTTTAAATTGCTTCCCACCTTGCTTGATACTTTGGGTTGTTGGTGTTGCATGGTGGGGAACAATGAAAAGCACGAAGGGTGTTGCCGTGTGTCACGATCCAAATCTCACATTTTATGATGGTGCCTATCGCATTACTAGGCAAGCTGACAATCACAATAAAACTATGCATCTTCAAATTTGGAAAACATAGTAATATAAGTTCAAGAGCAAAATCTCATAAATACTAACAAGAAAATACTGCGACTCAATACAATATCCCCCAAAAATTCGGGTGTCACTGAGTACCTGAGCATCTAACTGACAACATAGTCTAACTGCTAAACACTGTCTAGAAAGATAGAACAGTACAACAACTGAAAAGAAGGAGAATCAAGGTGTGTGGATGCCAAAGTAGCTACCTCAAAAGTTTCCGATAGATAAAGCTCCAAAGCTAGCAACCGCCGTACTCAGAAGTACCTGGATCTGCACAAGAAGTGTAGAGTGTAGTATGAGTACAACTGACCCAATGTACTCAATAAGTAATAAGACTAACCCTGGGCTGAAAGCAGTGACGAGCTCAACAAATACACTCCAAATACATATTTTTAAACAATACAAATATGACAGGAAATATGACAGTAATATCTTAGAGAAACTCATATCTATTAGTACATAGTATAGGAATGTAGACATGCTTCCAGGTTTAACAGTTAAGCCCAATACAGATAAAATATGCCAAGTATGACTGATATGAGGAATATCACATCTCTCTATCTACATGTCAATGTGCATCTCACATGTGATGCAACACAATGACAACCTCACGTACTCATACTCTCGAAGTACTTAATTTGACTGTCGCAAATTCTCGCTCATCACACTCAGTCACTCCGCACTATACGGTACCTGCACTCACTGCTAGGATGTCAGACTCCGGAGGGTTGGATCTTGCCCAAGCGCTAATAAAACCTGTTGCGGCGTGCAGCACGATCCCAACATGAATCAATAATACCAGTTGCGGCGTGCAGCCTGATCCCATCATGAGTCAAGAGTACCCGCTGCGGTGCGCAACCCGATCCCGTCTATGTCACTCACAAACAGTCCCTCGGCCTCACTCAGTCATCAATCTCTCCAGTCTCTCAGGCTCACAACACTCATGCCAATAAGCCCAAAACAATGATAAGTGATGTGACAATAATTGGTAACGGAGACTGAGATTTGATATGCAATGATGAATACGACTGAGTACATAACTACAATTTAAGCAAATAACTCAACAGCAAAAGAACGATCATTGTGGGGTCCTAATAGTACCAGCACATAGCCTAAACATGATTTCTAACATAAATCACAGCTCAAATCTCTAATACATAGAGTAGACATACGTAATAGCAAGATTCAGTGACTATAAAGTTTCATGAAATTGACTGAGTCACAATTACCACGGTGCACGCCCACACGCCCGTCACCTAGCATGTGCGTCACCTCAACACTAATCACATAAAACATATTTCAGGAGTTTATAGACCCCCTCCCCCCAGAATCAAGTTTAGAAGTGTTACTTACCTCAAACCGTGCAAATCTCTACTCCAACAAGACCTTGCCTTGTGATTTGGCCTCCAAACACCTCGAATCTAGCGACAAACAACTCGATACAATCAACACAAGCTATAAGAAACAATTCCATATGCAAAAGCTAAGTTCTTTAATAAAAGTCAAAATGTCAGCTCAAAAAGTCAACCCTGCGCTCATGTCTCGGAATCCAACAAAATTAACAAAATTCGAACACCCATTAAACCACGAGTCCACCCATACCAAAATTACTCAATTCCGATCACAACTCAAGTCTACGAAGTTTCAACAATGTTCCCCAAGTTTTCAACCCCAAACACTAATTAAATGATGAAAATAATGATATATTCATGTATATTAACCAAATCCGAGTTAGA